AAAAAAGAAGGTCCTTCGGTTGCCCGTAAACCGTTTGAAAAGGGGTAACCCCCCCCCCCCGCCGCCCTTCCAGAACCGGACCTGCCCTTTCGTTTGCAAAGCGAGCTGCGGATGAGGCGGTCGGCGTAGAAGACGAACTCCTGGCGGGAGGTCTCGCGGCAGCGGATCTTGGTGTGCATGCCACGGGTCTGCATGGTGGAGGGCATGACCTCGGATCCAAGTACTCGGCTATGTTCTTGATAAGCAAGGCACAGCGAGTTCAGGCTATGCAACAAGTCCCCCCCCCATCAAGTCCTTATCAAGTCCTTAACTTTTCCCTGTAGTTTTACCCAACACGAAACACCAAGTCTCCCGAGCAAAGAACAACAAGAATTGGCAGACCGGGGCCCGAAATGAGATTCGCTTGTTGAGGATAGAACTAAATGGCAAAGTAACGGGCTTGGGGGGGGGATTTGCTGGATCGGGTCCCCTCCAAGAGCTTGATTGTTGAGGGCACCCTGTTGGGTTTGAAGGCAAACCATCTGGAAAAGCCTAGTTCAGTCTGCTTGCCTGGGTGTGGGAAGCTATAACAGGTGGGATTGCCAAGTGGGTCTTAACTCCCTGACCCCCCCACTCCACCCCCAGTTCAATCAGGGTCTGGTTAGGGGGACAGCGTGCTTGGGCAATAGTCTCCCATAGCAGCCACTGGCAATCTCAAAGACTGCCTAGTTGTCCATGCTGTTACTCTTCTGCGCTGGAAACAAGCTGTACGAGTCGCAAATCAAAACCAGGCACTAAAGGGATCTGCCGAAAAAGAAAGAAAACAAAACGTACATCATTTTGGGATATCCGCACTGAAATTATCCCTTAACCTAAATCTACCCAGGTTTGGGGTTTTCTTTGCATCTCATAGGCTGTGTGTGTGTCTGTGTGTGTTTGTGCTTGTGCTTATGTTTGTGCTTGTACTTGTGCCATTTATCTTTCTTGTGCTTGTGTCTTTGTGTGTTTGTGTGCTTGTGTGTTTGTGGGTTTGTGGGTTTGTGGGTTTGTGTGTTTGTGTCTTTGTGTCTTTGTGTCTTTGTGTCTTTGTGTCTTTGTGTCTTTGTGTGTTTGTGGAGGATTGTGGAATTGTGGGATTGTTTGTTTGTGTGTGTGTGTGCTTGTGTGCTTGTGTGCTTGTGTGCTTGTGTGCTTGTGCGCTTGTGCGCTTGTGCGCTTGTGCGCTTGTGCGCTTGTGCGCTTGTGCGCTTGTGGGCTTGTGGGCTTGTGGGCTTGTGGGCTTGTGGGCTTGTGGGCTTGTGGGCTTGTGGGCTTGTGGGCTTGTGGGCTTGTGGGCTTGTGTGCTTGTGTGCTTGTGTGCTTGTGTGCTTGTGTGCTTGTGTGCTTGTGTGCGTGTGTGCGTGTGTGCGTGTGTGCGTGTGTGCGCGTGTGCGCGTGTGCGCGTGTGCGCGTGTGCGCGTGCGCGCGTGAGCGCGTGCGCGCGTGGGCGCGTGCGCGTGCGCGTGCGCGTGCGCGTGCGCGTGCGCGTGTGCGTGCACGTGCACGTGCGCGTGCGCGTGCGCGTGCGCGTGCGCGTGCGCGTGTGCGTGTGCGTGTGCGTGTGCGCGTGCGCGTGCGTGTGCGTGTGCGTGTGCGTGTGCGTGTGCGTGTGCGTGTGCGTGTGCGTGTGCGTGTGTGTGTGTGTGTGTGTGTGTGTGTGTGTTTGCTTGCTTGCTTGCTTGATTATTTGTTTGTTTGTTTGTTTGTTTGTTTGCTTGTCTGCTTGTGCTTGTGATTGTGTGTTTGCTGTTTGTGTTTGTGTGCTTGAGTTTCTGCGTCTGTGTCTGTGTCTGTGTCTGTGTCTGTGTCTGCGTGTCTGTTTGACGGAATCCGTTTTGGGGTATTTTCTGTAAGGAAAACCAAACAGGAAACCAAACGGACAACACCCATTTTTGAGGTTCCCTCATTTAGAGACAAACCCAGGGGATAGCAATCCTGGCAAAGGCGCACACAGGTTGGAGTAGATCCGGCGCAGGTCGTGCACTTCCAGCTTGGAGCGGATATGTTGGGCGATGAGGTCGACTGCAACGCTGTTGTTGTCTCGCCAGGGAATGATGATATCAGCATTGGTCCTGCGGGGCGTTCCCCACCAGGCAACAAATGTAGCCGTTGCAAAGTTGCACCACGTCAGGCACTGGGAGCAGCACAACATGATTTTGTTCCAATCCTGGCAACCCCCTCCACGGTTGATTTGGACCCGCGTGAAAGCGCGGGTTCAAACAACTACAGAAAATAGCTCAAAGACTCGCCGGTGCCTCGCTCGGAGAAAAATGGGAGACATTTCTCAGAAACTTGCTGGTCCTCAGCAAACAATGAGCTATAAACCATCGCCTATGGTTTCCCTACAGGCAATCCCTGGATCATTTGGCCATATGTCAAAATCCTGTACCCCCCAGTGAACATCCCAATCCCCACTAAAATAGACTAAAATAGGTGGTACACCTACCCCAACATGGTTCCATTGGTTTTGACCCACAGCCATCTCCCCACACCCGAAACGGCCATTCACTCGTCACCAGCAACAAAAACGGACGATTTGCCGCCTGGAGGGCAGGATCCACTTCTCAAAGGCGGGCTTCACGAAGCGCGTGTACTGCAAGATCACCGACTCCACGTCCCGCCCGCCTTGAGGTTGTGGGCACTCCCAGGATGCCATGAAAAGCCACCCCCCCAAAAAAAAACACGATGCCGGGAAGCCACCCGAAGGGAAATTTAGGGCAACCCCACAACTTATGGCAACCCCAAACCTTGTACGGCCACATAACCCTTTTGCGGGATATAGTGCGTTGGAATCGGCAAATATTTCATACACCGCGTGTTTTCCCTTAGCGGTAGTGGCGTGCGGGTGGAAACCACGAGCTGGTGCCTGTTTGCTTTCCTGGCAATACCGACCAAATAGGGGGCATGTTGAGTTCCAGAGAAATAGACATTTCAAGCCCATAAACCTCTTGGAGCATAATCAATACTTGAAGAGAATCTGCGGCTAGCATGAGTTTGAAACTCAGTGAAGCGCACGATTGCGTGATGAACGGCATGGCCGTGCCCAAATGGCATAAATGGATATCCAACAGGACAAGTGGTGCAAGTTTCTAGACCAGCCACATGCAGGAATTCGTCCTTGAATTTGTGCGCTCACTGTTTGGATGCTTGCGCTGATCAAGCAAACTGCTTTGACGCATGGAGCTAACGTTGGTTTACTTTCGAGCTTCGGGGCCATGGAAAACACGGGAAGCATTGCTTGCATACGTGGCAGCTGGGGGCTCGCTCAAAGCGCTGGGGGGCAGCTCCAAGCTTTCCTGTGGGGGACCCGTGTTGGGCTGTCAGAGAGAAGCCATATCGCTGGATTCAGGATGCTACCCCAAACGGGTCCCTAGTCTTGACAAGCATTTCACATTCTTATCTTATCCGCCCACCGCGGGGTGAAACGCTCATCGGTTTCGTAGTTTACGTTGAATCGGGGGGAAGAAGGAATACATACCAACAGACTTAAGGCTCGGAATCATGGGGTGCGAATCCCCGATTTGCGTTGAGTGGCAACCCCCAACTGAGCCAGACTCCCAAGCCATGGCTTTGTCCGCAGTGTGAGGCTCAAGAACTAGGTCGAATTTCAATACAGAAGCTCATGTCACCACGAGAATGCACCTCAAAGGTCGATTCCTGCACATGGACAACACCTGCACCACTTGGTCGGTGGCTTATCCACTTATTCACATTGGGTTTCATCCATGCCAAGCGGTGCAGGATTACCGAACCTCCGTGTCTGATCCCGCGCCGCTTGCAAGCTGACTTGCGATGCAGCAGGGGCATAGAGGTTCTTTGAGGTGCCCCTCGCGGTCACTTCAAGACCCAAGCTTGGCATAGCCAAGAATATTCACCAACCAAATGCCAACACATTAAACCCAAACCAGCATGTTCGAAACATACTCCTAGATTGTACATGTATAATATACTTGTTTGTGCCTTCTTTGAGGGGACCCCCAAAATCATGGTTTACCCTTTGGCTGCCCTTCAAACCAACCGAAAAGGGTATCCTCCAAAAATAAACACACCATACTATTCACATAAACATACATAGCGCGGAATTAGATACATCAAACAAGAAGTAGTATGTCTGCAGTAATTACACATGAAGTAAAACAAACAGACATCGCCAAACCAAGCTCCACCCTCACAAAAAAGGAACTAGGAGATTGGCTGCTCGACCTGCTTTGCCAGGCCACGCTCCACTGTGTCCCGACGAATGCGCCGCGCGAGGCGCACGTCATCGTCGGTGTCCACGAAGATCCTGGTGCTCGCCAACACGATGATGTTGTTGATTATTTCGCCCGCTCTGGTTGGGAACTCTACCCGCCCCCTCAAACTGCTATCAAACGGGTGATTAAGTCAGCTCCTTTGGGATATTATTGGGGCCAGTTGACAGCCATTGGGAACTGGTGCTTTCCTTTTACATAAGGTTGGTTCCCAAAACACGTGGTGATTCCCTGCTCAGAACCAGCAAGAAATCAGCGGGTTGCGGGGAGTTTCACAACAAATAAGGTCAACATCATAGGCAAAAAGTGGATAGTTGTTGTTTAGGCCCTCAAATTGCCATTGACAAATGTTGTCACCCAGAACATGACTGCTTTGTTACGCCCCTCCTCGTTGTTTCTGCAAAGGGCGAATCCCTTTGCCAGGCTGTTGAAACTGGGTTCAACCTGACTCCCAGAATGCCGACGCAATGAAACATGGGATATCCCACTTGTTTTGTAAGCCAAGGTAGCCACAGTTTTGGATTGGGCTGTTCTCGGCGTTGTATCCTCTTCGGAGTCTGTGGCCATCCAACACTAAAAGCATGGACCGGGAAGCCAAAGCGGTCGAATGATCGACTCTTCGGGGGATTCCCGGCTCAGGGAGAGAGGGTGAGTCCCACCAACAGGAGCGATGTAAGGCGGATGGAACACCTAATGTCAGTCTTCCTAGTTGGACGTCTGCACGAAATACTGTAATTCAGGAAAAAACTACTTGAAACAAGAACGTTGATCTTGGGTGATCTCGATTTAATCCAGGCGTAGCTCGGTATAATTTGTGCAGAGATGTGGTCATCCCCTTTGCCTGCAAGCACAGTGGAGGACAAATCATGAGCCGCTACAACAACCTCCCACACAGAGGTTGCCTTTTGACCCTCGCTTCTAGAAAATGAAAAGGACTGCCTAGACGCGGTGGAATCCGAATTTCAAGGGATTCCCCTTCAAGCTCTCCAAGCTTTGGCCAATCCGATGTCTTCTATCATCCCAACTGTGAAATCACTGCGAGGGCCAAATCCTTCTAACCACCTGATGACTTGGCAGCGTTCTTCTTGTGAGTCCTATGCTGTCCTTCTCTTTGTGCCTACTTTGCGCAGGCGCCGACTGGATGCTTCCCCAGCTAACTTCATCTCGTCGTAATGATAGGCACGACTGTCCCCAGCTAATTGCACAAAAACATAACTGGGCTCTTCGACTGCTATGAGCCAACAAACTCAAGCATGACCTTCCACACAGCAAGAAATAACACGGGCTGCAAGGGGCCAGACTATAAACGTCCAGCTTAGCCAGCACCCAAACACTGCTTGCCCTACGACTCAGATTTCTCTCCAGCTAAACATCATCTACCCACTTGGGAACAACACGCAATGTTCAAACCAGCGTGATGGGACATAGGATGACCTCTTCTGATACGTTCAAGCACAAAAGGCAATCCAGGAACAAACCAAATTGTGATCATACTGACTTTCGACGAGACCTTTGGGTGTGCGATGCCTTCAAATGGCGAATCTGACCAAGAGTTTACTGACTGTTCTAAAGGACAACCACTCTCAAAAGCAATTTGAAGAAGCCCAGGCCCTTCGAAATGTTCAGTTGTGAAGCAGATTTCACCTCCAAGCGTCTTCATATTGCAGCGCGACAGGATCTCTGGCACGTGCAAGACTAGGATGCCTTCCAGAATCACCTCGGACGTCTATCTCAAGTCACAGCTCTCGTCACACCAAATATGGGTGTCCTTTTCAGGGGAACTCCGTTTGGTTGCAAGGCAAAGGAAAAGGAACCAACCAAAGGAGCCAACCAACCAACCGACCAACCGGGTTGGTCACCTGGGAACCGCCTGCGAATCCAGCACCAACTTGGGCTGGGTTGGCAACATGCTCAAGATGTCCTAACCATTGGCGGCCCAGTGTTGGATAGTGTTCGGAAGGAAATCAAAAGCAAACTATTTTGATGGCGCCCAGTTTCAAGACACCCAGAACCGCAACCTCTCGTACGCCCCCGCACCGAATCGCCCACAAGTCGGGTCAATCCCAAGGAGTGATCAGGACAGGGAGGTCTCATTCAAGACGTTTGATCCACTGGCGACTGGTACGATGAGGACTCCCGTTGTCATCTGGTTTTGTTTCTTGCCACCAGCTTAGCGGTCATGGCTCCCTTGATGTGGTTCTCGTATACTTTGTATAATAGTATATGTACATTTGTGCATTGACCTGCTCAATGATATATTCACACGTTTGCTTGGGTGTGCGTTTGAATTGGGGTCCATTCAGTGAACATTTACATCCATAAACTAAGCAATTCGTGTATTTACTGATGGCCCTGGGTTGTTGACAGCTGTGCCGACGTTTGGCAGGACTCCCCCTTCTGCAAACCGAGGCACTACATCGGAAGGCGCCACCCGGCGAATGTTGCCGGACCGTCGACTTGTCACAAAGTCATAGACCGGCACCTGGATGTCTGTGAGTCAAATGCGAGCTCAAACCTAGCTGGATCAAGGCGGCTGGTTCTCTTGCAAATAAGATGGAAAAGGTGCATGGCCGAAGCAGCGCCTTTCACAAAGGCGCATGAGCGATACAAGGGGCCTATAGAAGGCATTCCGCGCAACTCCCCTTCACTTTCCTCGCACCTTGACGCTCAAATGCCCTAAGCTCATCTTGCAAAGCTCTGCACATGCGCACAGGCTCTCGGCCTGCTCGTCAACTCTTCAACTTCGACCCGAAAAACGAAACGGAGTCCCGATGTTCTTACAATTGAGAAGCACCTCGAAGTCATGGCCAACCTCCTGTACTCGGTTGCTTTCTGCTCCCCCGCAAAAAGTTTAACTTTTAGTGGTTTAATCGAAACCCACTAGTTGGCAAAAAGTTAAAGTCCTAACATCCAAGCAAAATGCACCAAAGTGCAAACCTAAGCCCCTGGATTTCGTCCATCGCATCCTGCCCTGGATTTATTTCGTCGTCCCTGCGTCCCTGCGGGCCTCTGCTGCCTCTCCACGCCCCAGCGCATCCAAACACTTCGCGAGTTCGTGGATGTCAAAAGCCTGGTGGTGGTGCTGCTGCTGGACAGTAAGGATGATGTGAATGCAAAGAATGGACAGGAGGTACATGATGTGACTAATGATGATCTTGAGAAGGAGGAAGATATAAGGATGACAAGGATGACAAGGATGACAAGGATGACAAGGATGACAAGGATGATAAGGATGATAAGGATGATAAGGATGATAAGGACCAGGATGAACAGGATGATACGAAAACAACAAAAATAACAAAACATGATAAGGATGAGAAGAATGGGGCAAATAAACACGACAAGTATGTTGAGAAGGATGATGCTAATGAGGACGCTGCTGCGCCTGCTGCTGGTGGACGAGAGACGAGGACGAGGAGGCAATGAGGAGGGTGTAAAGAATGATGAATATGCTATGACGCCTTGAGAAGGATCAGGACAAACCTGACTTGAGTTGCTGCTCCCCGCTTGATGAAGGCTTCTGCCCTCCCTAAAGATCAAGACAAGCTTTAGAAGACCAAAACTTGCAGTGCATTCGGATCCCCCTCCCCTCTCATGCACCCGGGAATCCAGATCTGTCCGGTCCTGTGTTTTTTGGCACGGTAATACAACGCTGAAGGCTCTGCTGAGGAATCCGGCGTATATCATTGGGGAGACTATGACTGACATTGAAAGGAAGTGTTACTCATGAGCTTTTCAAATCTTGATTGTTCGACATATTGCAACAGGACCTTTGCCGCTTCTGCGCTGGTTTACCACTTGGAGTAGTGAAGGAACTGTTCTTGGCAAGCATATTGGCAACAGCTGCTCGGAGAGGGGTGGGATGCTTTTCATCGGCCTCTCTAGGTGCCAAGGGAAGGAGGTAGCTAGAAGCTGGCCGCTCAATTGGGGGAAGAAAGTAGTGATCGGAGGTCGACAGGGAGGTACGCATTGTTGACTATTTATTGCAATGTTGTTGTGACATGATGACATTTGATTCGAAAAGGATACATATCATATATAGTAGTGACCTGTTCAGCATAACATAGCAACACACGGTGGGAGGGCAACAAAAGAGTCGACTCAACCTGCACAGCTTGGTTTCTCGGCAATTCAAGCTGGCATTCAAAGCGAACAGGGAAGAAGGGAAAGTCATAGCCGCACTTCGAGACCTGGCCTAATACGTGCAGCCTTTCATCAAGCACAAGGATCAAGAGAATGGCGGGCCCTGTCCAACAGCCTGAACGTACTGAAGGTTGGCGAGTTTCTCGAGCGAGCCGAAAAGCAGTATAAATCCAGTTGAAACCCATTCTTCCCCGTCTGAGCACCTGCGGCTCGTCAAAGTTCACGTCCGAGATGCAGGAACACTCCTCAATCGGGTGGACTTGCCAACGCTGGCACTGCATTTTAAGCTCTATCGCTCAATGTCTCCAAAGGCCAAGTGAAGGCATCCTGGGCAAGGCTCAGCTCACTCTCAGAGAATGCAGAAATTCCGCGTCATGTTCTGTGGCGTACCCTCGCCTCAGGAGTGAGATCCCGGTAGAACTCGTCCAGGCTAACCAGCGCCACACGCTGGTCTCCCAGGGCTTGCATCAAACGGCTGCACACCTCGCGGAAACTGCACAGCTCAAAACGAGACCAAAGGCCAAAGAGTGATGGGAGAAACAGGAAAAGCTTGCGCTGGTCCTGCCACTGGTGGTGCTGGTGCTGCTGCTGGGCGGTGATGGTGGTGCTGGTGCTGCTGCTGGACGGTGATGGTGGTGCTAGTGATGGAAGGAGCGGCATGTTTGCCACGGTTCCACTCAACCATGCGGAAGTGACATCCTCAAAATGACCCTCTCTTTGTTTAAAAGAAACTTCCCATCGGGACCAGAAGTAATGTTGAGAATCCTGGATTTTGAGCGGGCCCTTTGCTGAGTGCTGGTTGCCATCAAGAAGAGAATGGATACCTTGCGCCCCTGAAACTTGTAAGAGGAAGGCCGCACGGCCTGCACTATGCGGCATGGTATTCAAGGTTGGTTGCTTTTTGAGGTTCAAAGAGAGCGGGAGACAGCTGATGCAGTTCGGAGGAATACCTGATCACCTGGACACAAAGGACAAACCGGCCGCTTTGCTCAGGAACTTGACTCTGAGGCACGCGCCGTAGTTTTGCCGCTGGCTGTCCCACCAGCAATGCCAATGACGAAGGGCTGATAGTGCAAATGGATCTGGCTCTTGTCCCGAGGCGATCCTTTCCTGAAGAACGTATGGCGTGCAAGCTGTCGCAGCGAAATTGGCTTTCTTCTAACAGCAGACCCGCAGGAAGCCTTTGCCACATATTTTGAAACAAACAGGAGTCTCAGGGAATCTCAAGTGGTAGTCGTTTTTCCTTGGAAAACGGATGTACGCAGCTCGGGTATTGTTTCTGCTCACTGGGTCTTAGGGATTTGCATGAAGGCCACTTGTGTCAGGCGTTCTGGCGCCCACCTCACTTCAATCCTCCCACATTAACTGCTCCCGGCCCTCCATCAAAAGCGGAATGCCCTGCAGAGTTGAAGTGGCTAGCGCAACAAGTTGACCTGTTGCCCAGTCAAAGGGGAGACAAGCAACATGCAAAAGGTTCAACATATTTTCAGCACACGCAGCAAAGCAACCAAGGCTTGATCCAGGGATTTGCCCGGGCCTTGGCTCCTCCAGAGGCAGGAATGAGCAGCAAAGCCACGTGAAAACACGTGTCAGCGAAAGAGCAGGTGTCAATCCTGGGCTCTTCTGGCCTTTCACTTCTTTGATCCGGCTCTCTTTTGTGGCACGGGATCGGTCTCCAACAAACAACACACTCAAGTATGAAAGCTTCTGCTCATCTCACGTACGCCTCAAGACCGAGACATGGAATTCACGGTAGGAGAACTGCGCACTTTCAGGCTGCCTCTTGGGAAGTCTGTAGCGGCGATGTGGTACGAGTAAGTCCCAAGTTTGGCTTCCGTGAAAACATGCGCACACTGGCATGCCTGTCGTAAACACCCTGTGCACCTCGCAACGCTAGCGGAAGCACGGGGCACACACACACACACGCATGTGGTCGAAGATCCTTGAAAGAGTCTCTTTCATGTCGCGTGCTTCTGTCGTGCGCTCTTCTCCCACACGAAGTGGTGTGCCAATTGCTAACTCAACCAGCCCCACCCACCCCCAAACCCACCCCCAAACCCCACCCGCCCAACCCCCCTCCCCAGCTCGATCCCGGTCCCCTTTTCCCTGCAAGGCTCATTTCCAGGCCGTTGGTCATGTCTGGTAGCATGGGACCTGGAGCTGGTCGTGTTGGGTGTCTCCAAAGCCAAAAGAACAACCCGCGGAGCAGTCCTAAATTTCAGACACCCATTTGCAGAAGTCTGGGTCTTGGTCCGTCTCCTGTCACAGTAGCTCCATTGGCAACCATTGACGGGACACATGTGGCCCAGGCCACTGCTCTGGTCAATGTGGGGATGGCCTCCTCTCAGTTTTTATCCAAACTTGCGGCCGCTGTTGGCCCGTCGTGTCACAAAAGGCTCTTTGGCCGAGGACTTTCGGAAACAGCTCCCAGTCGCAGCGTGCATCCCTTCACGCGGAACCTTGCCCCAGGCGGGTTCCAAGTATCCATTGAAGCAGGCGTCATTCAGACCCGTTTGGAGCTATCTGCCGATCTGCCTTCAAAATTAATCTTGGGCAGATCCAGAAAGGAATGTGGCCATTTCTACCCCAAGGCACAACTGAGACTGGCATATTGGAGGTCTTTTTGTTCTGACATAAAGCCGTAAACAAGTGCAGGCCTTCAAGCGGGCATTCATCCGGCCAGCAGGCGATTTTCACCCAAGCCATCCGCGACCAACAGCGAGAAACTGTTCAGTTGCCAACCACCACTCTTCTTTTCGCAAAACTAGAAGGGCGGATTTGTCACATTTATCAATCACAAAGTCCCTCTGAATCTGGTTTGATGGGCCTCAGAGTGGCACAAGGACCCGTGCCAAAACCGCGCAAACTCCCCGCCCGCCTCCGGCCAGCCACCCGGAGCGCGCTTCTAGACAGCGCGGCGCTTTTGCCGGGGGTGATTTCGACGATTTTGTTGGGGCGGGCGAATGAGCATGAAATTCCGCCGACTGATGGGTGCGTGGCCAACGAGTGTCCGTGGGAAATGCTGTTGAGCTTGGATTGAGCGGCTTAGACTCGATCTCTTGGGGTCAAATTGGCGCCAGGATGCAGCAGCATGTTTTTTTCCTTGGGGGGGGGGGGTGGGGTGAACTGTGCCAAGTGCCAAGATTCGGCGCCAGAAGGACTTGCTCCCTGTCATGGAACCCAATGGCTCGACATGGTATTTTAGAGCCAGCCTGCGCGGGAAGGAACCAAGCAGGAAACCCCTGCAACCGAAGCTCCAAACGGTTCCTCGCAGCTAGCAGCCGCTTCCATTTCTGGGCTCAATGCTCACAAAGAAAACAATGTGAGTTGGATGGATCTGCTGAGTAGAATCTGTTGGAGACATGGACTGATAATCCTCTTGAAGAAGCTTGCTCAACGTCCTGCAATCTACACAACTCCCTCCCCGTCGCTTCTTTGAGGCTTCGGACTTCTGTCTCTTTCAAATGCCGCAGACCCCCCCTGAAAAGCGCCCTTTTGCTCTGCGCCAAGCACTTGCATTGCATTCAGGCCAAGATGTGCCGAGATGGTTTGAATATCGCGTCTAATCATACTCATGCAGCACCTTGCAGGCGCATGAATTGGGATCTTCGCTGGCACAATCAAGATCCGCAACCGTAACTGATGGCCTGTGTCCAACACATACAGGAGGCCGACTATGTGCCAACATATATATATATATATATAGTTGCTTGCAACCTGTTTAGCCCTACCATTCCAGGCTTTCACCCCTTAGTTGTCCGAGAAAAGAACTCTTCTGAGGGGCCCGGAAGCCCACGCGCAAGCGCGCATTGCCTCAGAAGACGTGCAGCGGCGGCTTGATCAGCGCTTGGGTCTCCGGATCCTTGTACGACACTAGGCAGGCCGTCGGGTTTTTTAGGTCTCTCGGCAGGGGTGCGGCATTCGAACCCCCCTTTGGTTGAAGGCCTACACTTTTTTGTGGAAAATTATTGTTAAGCAAACCAATTTGCCACGCTTGCAAGGCGAGTTTGGCTGTTTCAACACCGGCTTGCCCAACCTTGACAGCGCGTGCAAGCGGTTTTGTCTCCAAATCAACATCCACTGGTGCGTAAACACCAACCCAAGCACGGGTACCCTCAACTAAAGAAACTCTAAGTAGGCTGGTGCGCGGAAGGAAGCCAGATACTTGCAGCGCAGCCTCATTTGGACACAGTGCCACGCGTTGATCTTTCGTTTCGTCGCACTAACTAAGGCCTCATGCTTTCGGCTCGGGGTAGAACAGAGGTCGCTTGTCAGGTTGGCACGAGCATGCTTGCCAAATCATGCAGCTGTAGCCCGCTCCATGTCCTTCAGGCCCGAAGTGTCCGATCCTCCATCAGCCATGGAATGTCAGAGCTTTTGCAGCACACCCTAACAAAGACAACAGCCTCAAAACTGCAGACAGGCAAGCAGGAACCGCAAAGGGCCGCCTCCCAGTCCGCCCCACCCAACCCCCAAGCGAGGCGCCGCAGAGGTGCTGGAGACCATGGAGGACCCCGCACGCGCCATGGAGCCTATGTGATAGGAGGTGCGGCCCCCTGCGCGGTCTCCGGGTCGGTTTCGAGGGCCCTTTGATAAGGCCATGGAAGGCAACCCCTTGGAAATCCCCGTCCCTAAGGGGGGGGGGGCCCTCAAAAAATGCAATTTATTTCTTTTTTTTTTGGGGGGGGGTAGCCCATGAAATATTTCAATTCTGGATCCCAACCCCGAAGAAAAATGCAACCCTTTTCTGGGACGAGCGTTCGGTTTGGTGGCCGCTAAAAGCCCGCAAGCCGCAGATTCTTGGAAGCGCTGTGATTATTCTGGTGGTTTTCGAGCCATTTTGTTTTAGAGGCACCAGTTTTTGGAGGGGCCCCAGGGCCAGTAATGTCTCCCAGGCGCAAGCGGGAGAACCGTTTGGGTCGGGGTCCCCCCCCCTTCAAACATGTTTATGTTGGGCCCCTCCGTGTTTCACAACCCCCCCCCCTCAAAAGTGCAACAAAAAATGAAATTTCACTGGGGTACTCCCCCCCTCAAATTACAATTGTTAGGGGGGGAGATTCCCTTGGACAACTATCAGCTTGCACAGCTGGTGTTCAAACCATGGGCTTGCACAGCAAGAAGGTTGCCACTTCGAGCAACGTGCAAACATCTCAATGAGTGGGATACAGGGTCATTGATGCCGATACGGTTGATTCCATCCAAACAAGAGCCGGCATGTTGTGCTTTGAGTATAAGGGGCCTCACTTGCAATACTCCAGGGTGTCTTCCAATTCAACAACCAAAATAATCTGCCAACCTCAAGAAGGAACCTCCATGGGCCGGTCGCAAGGCAAAGCCCTTTGGGAGTTTGCGATTCAGTTTGCCCGAAACATCATTGAAATTGATGCAGTAGACACTCTCTCCAAAAGTGGCACACATGTTCCGGTACGTTCACTCCAGCATTGTGGTGTGAGTTGACTTGTAATATTCCACGACTCACAGGAAGTGTCACCCCCATCCTGTCAGAAACGTCTGCTTCCGGGTTTTGGGAAATTTTCTGAAGAGGGTTGATCCCTAACGGCCAGAATGTTGACTCCCAGAATGTTGACGCCCCATGTCCCATTTGGAGAACTCACATGCGTGTATTGAAATTGGATAACCCAAACCCCCAGTGACGAGGAAAAAAAACGGTGCCCTCTTTTTTTGGGCAGCTGTTTTTAAGGGGAACCCCTCTCTCAAAAAAGCAAGTCACTCTTTTGTTGGTACCAGTAGCTGTTTTTCAAAATGGGAAACCCCTCTCCAAACAAAAAGCTGAAGCAAGTTGAAGCAAGAAGCAACCCGCCTCACCGCCACTCTGCCCTGCCTCCGCCGCCACCTCCCCCGCCACCGCCGCCGCCGTAGGGCGTCTGCCCTGAAGGCGTGGCGCTAGCCGAGACGCGAGATGAGGCACTTCCAGGGTCAACCAAAATGGGAGGTGTTCCTGTTGGTTTCCCAAAAAACCAACCTAGGGTACCCTCAAAGAAACAAAGACACAGTTCCACCATCATCCACTTTTCCACCCTAGACGGTGCCCGCCGTTCTCTGCCTGGGAATGCGTTTCTTCAGTGGTTGCCACGCTACCAAACGCAAACGGTGACCCGGGCCAAACGATGCACAGGGCAGAAGTTCAGGGCCGGCGAAGTCCAGCGTCCAGCCAGAAATACCACTGGTGCTTTCCCCACTGTCCACCACCCCCTGGTATTCAAAGAGATTCATTTGCTTGACAGTAGATGAAGGAGATGTTTCAGGAAGATCCCTAGCTTAGGCGGGCGAACAAGGCTCGAAATGATACAGCCTCCCCATGTTGTCCAGTCCCACATGAAAGGAGTGCAGCTTTGGAATCTGGTCCGCCCACAAAGGGGCGTCTGGTTTCCATATCGGAACGACTCACCATTCGCCTAACTCAAGCGCGAATGTATCAAGTCATGCAACAGTCAGAAATAAACATTTGAGCCTGACTTTGATTTCAGTGAGGGCACTCATTCCCAATAAACGGAGCAACAAGCTGGCCCAAGCAAAATAAAACATCTATGAACCACAGAGCAGTCTTTCAAATCGGACAGCCCTCCCAAAACTGCCTTTCATTTCCGAGACAACGCCCACGTTGAGGGAGCCAACTCACATCGGGACTGGACGCTTTCGGCTGGGCATCCCTGCGTGCCGACTGGAAGGAAGAGGCCGCCTCGGCCCGCGCGGAACCGCTTCAGCCGGAACCTGCCCAACTCCTGTGATTCTGAGTCAGAAAAGCCTGGTCTGAAAGCGGGCTCGACCCCAAAACCGGGGAAAGAATTAAACAAACAACAAAAAAAAACGGCCATGCCGGTCGCATCTACTTATGGTTGGGGCTACCCCATCCAAAGTCCTAACCATCCTAAAGTGTGATGTTGGCGCAAATGATCACTGCTCTGTCTGGCGCAAAACGCACCATCGCACGTCTCCCTGCGAGTGGCAAACCCACTCAGACTCAAGACATCCCATTTAAATTCAGGCGCCTTCGGCTTTGCTATATGGAGCCAGACTAAACCACGCTGCGCCCTGCAATTGACCAAGGGCAACAAATAACAAACAAGAATTCGATTGAAGAGAATCCAAGCTGCTCCCTCAACCCAGCCCAGGTTGCACTCCCCACTGGCGGCCCCAGCTGCAAGACTGCGCCTGAGACCGGGCCCCATGGTAGGCCAGGGATTGGCTCGCCAACTCATCCCACCCTTTGTGGTCTGAGAAGTGCATCTACACTTCCGGGGGCTTTTATTTGCTCGCATACCTGAAGGGTATGATTCAGCGCTTGTCACCTGGTACGGCAAAACGTGAAGGGATACCAACATGTCTGTGACAAATGTTTTTCCCCAAAGGGTTGTGGCACCTGCGGAACAGCTAATTTAGCTACGAAGCGCCCGTGCCCACCGGCTTCCCCATAAAATGTTCCCTTGGCTGTCCAAAGCAACTTGGCCTTCCAAGGATCTGGCCTTGAGGGGTTCGGGAAGTGACTCTGAACACAAGCAGCAGCAGCAGCAGCAGCAGCAGCAGCAGCAGCAGCAGCAACAACAGCCCTATCACACAAGTCCTTGCACGTTGAGTTCCGAGCTTCTGCCTCTTTGGACAACAATGCCAACCGCTTGTTTTTGTTAGAGGCCCCCTTTGAAAGCACCAAACGTAAATTCATATGCATTGAATTGACAGCTCTACGGCCGATTCAAACAAGTATTGATTTTCCAGAAAAGAACAAAGACAAGGCTTCAATCAATATTTACTTGTCACGTGAATCCAAAGCCCAGTTGCTTACCCACAACAGGAATTAATCCAGGCGGTTCATTCCAATACAGGATCCCTGGGTTTAAGTCGGAGGGTTTTTTAGAACCCTGTCAACTAAGTCAAGGGTATGCTTGTAATCAGCAGACATGGCTGCATCTTCCGGCATGTCAAACCAGCCAGCGTAAGCACAGGGGTATGCGTGGATCTCAGCGGGGGGGGGGGGGGCATTCTGGGCATTTCTGGGCATTGAAGACACACCCAAACAATCAGAACTTGTGGAGACGGAACGCTCAGCATGAAAAGACAGCATGAAAAGACCAACCCTGGGTCTGTTAGGCCATCAAAACCAAGGTCCTGTTGGTTTTTATCTGCCTTGAAAAGAACAACGCCTGTGTCCTGGCATATTTGTTCTTTGAGACTGAATATCAAGCACGGGGAGCTAAACTATCTTTCTTCCCCCTGCAAAATGATCGCCACCCTCTTCTTGCTGAAGGTGGACAGGAAACAATCGCACAACAACCCAGCATTTTGTCCAAGGCCGTGCCCTCTCAAAGCCCAACTGAAGAAACCCACGTTCCTTCGGTTGATCTTAAATTAAGGAAGATCAACCACCAAAAAAAAAGATTCAACCAAAAACCACCAACAAGTGTTTGCTTGATCTTGACAAGTGTTTGCTTGATCTTCAAGTTGGAAAGCCCAACCAACCAAAAGTTTGATCAGCATCTCTGGTGCAGTCCATGTGGCTTGCCTCGGGGCACCTCCCTTTACAGGGCGCGCTCGCCGGAGCTCGCTCGCTCGGCCGAGTCTCCCGGCGGAGCCATGGACGGAGGAGCCAAGCTCTGCCGGGTCCGCGGCGCCCTGGATTCGCACGTTGTGCATGTGTGTGCATGTGTGTGTGTGTGTGTGTTGTGTCTATGCACATGCCTCGGCATGTCCTATATATAAATATGTGTGCTGATGTGTAGAATATAGTATACAGATTTACCCTCCCTCGAACAATCATGAAAGCTGACAGGAGGGTTTGGAAAGTCTACTTTCCTAGCTGTGCGCACACACGCAAACATACATAAACACAATACCTGTGCGTCTAAATACCCTCTTTCCGACAATCATGGAAGTGGACACGATATCATCTCAACTTCATCTGTTCAACCTGAAATGGCTTGGATCAACGACTGACGCCATTCGGAATCCTGAACAACAACAACAACTTCACTTTATGGTTTATCAGTATTTCATTGGACTCAGGCACCACCAGTTCGAACTAGTTCTCTCCAAGCCCTGCCCAAGGTTGCTGTGATGGAGCCCAAGACGTCGAGCAAGCAGAAGCAAATATGTGGTTCTTGGATCATTCCCTGCGGTTCGATTCATCCCGACAGCTTATCCATTTCTCTGTGACTTGAGATAAACTGGCTTCAAGTTGCTCTAGGTCGCGATCAGCAAAGATGCAAGTCACCTCAAGGATCCTGCCCAAGTCATTATGCGGTAGCCAAACAGGACATCGAGTGAGTGCCTTTGCTTTTGTTGTGGGGAGTTTAGTGAGCGCCCCCATGTCTTTTGCAAATGGGCCATAGACAACTGACTTGTTGAGGGAAACTCAGACGTCAGTGGTGAACTATCTTAATGGCTGAAACAAGTGGCTTCATGTAGCATGTCTGAACGCAGCCTTGATACCTAGCAGCGCGTCCAAGGGCATTCATCGCTGTACAGGATTTCCTGAAGGTCCCTTTCGCCACACATTGAAGTTGATACACATGCGAAGTGCAAGCCGTTGCCAATCAAAGCGGCGTCCTCTATGCCCATATCTTGTTTCAGTGATACGATTCATGGCACGGCAGCTGCTGAAAGCGAAACGATGCGGGTCCCCAAATTGCCCCTGTCAGCATAACCCACCAAACGAGACTCACTCCAAATTGGCCCAAAAGGAAAATGTGTTCAACCACATAAGGGGAACCACCAAAAGTGGAAATATTTGGGGAACCCTCGAGCTGTGTGCCCAGGCCGCCGGGCTGGTAAGCCGTGCCACCCAACCTAGCGACCGCAGTCATGGCAGGTCATGGCATGCAGCACGCAGGCAGCGCAGACAGCATGGAATGGCCAAGAATCGTTGGAAGGAAATCCTTGGCAAGGGAGCGCAAGGACTTTGATTTGCAATGGCTGAAAGCAGGGATGCTGCAAAAGCAGCGAGGTCCATCCCCAAGTCAACCGACTTACCAGGTTTCTGCTACTTGGAAACCAAATGCTACAATTATTTCTTGAGGTGGGCAAGGCCAACCAACAGGAAACCAATTTGGTTTCATATCCAATTTTCAGAAAGACCCGGTTAGTGACAAGGATGCCCTTTGCACAGGGTGTTGCTTACCCAGGGCGCCTCAGGTGGAGGGTGCAGAGATCAGCCGGCTTTAGAAGCAGTTAACAAATGCTTCAAACCAATGCTTGGCCACTGTTCAACCTTAAACTATCCATCAATTGAGAAAAGGCCAACCATGGCCCCGACAATCGCCACTATCACTTGGGTAAAGGGGCAAACATGTCTGGAAGGGTGACTTCACGACGTGACTCATGGTGCTCGTCTTCCTTCGAGGGGTACTCTCTTTGAGCTTGTGTTGAAGGGAAGCCACCCGTTTTGGGGGTTCCCCCAGGTGCGCGCCTCGATAGCAAACCCCCTCTGAATCCAAGGCCCTCAATGCATTCAGCAAACAGGGGCTCCTGCGTGAAGCATGAACCAACTGGTCGCCTGCGCTTTTTTTCTTCGATTAAAACGTTTCAGGGTGGGAGTAGCACCCCTGACATCCGACGTGCTCCCAGGAGCAAGCCGACGTGCTTTCCAGAAAGGTGGCTACAGAGACCAGCGCCCACCCGTGCGAAACGGGAGCCCCGCCGGGCGGCGCTGGAGGGTGGCATGCCATCCGGCAGCTTCCTTGCGGCTTGCGGGGTCCCGCGGGGGTCCGCGGGGTTGAGGCAGTGGCAGGCATGGCAGAAGCTGTCGATCCCCCCGCTGCTTCGTTCAAACCAAAGTTGAAAAAACATGAGGAAACAACATGTCCATCAACTTGTAGCTTCCTTTGGGGGAAAAATGAATTGCAAAAGAGGGAGAACTATGGATGAGGATATGTTGGACAACTTACCACTCAAACGGTGAAATCAGAAACGTCGGGCTTGGGTGCCAAATTGACAGCCGCCCCATGGAAAGATGCTTGCCTCTCTGCCGTCCCACTGGCCGTCTTCAAGCATATGCCGATATGTTCGATGAGTGCCTTGTTGGCTGCTTGGCATAACTCCAAGAGGGAAACATGTTGACTCTACTCTTCAGGCCCCCAGACATGTTCCAATAAGGCAGTCCAAAAAGGACCGTGTTGACTCCCACAGGCTTTTGGCCACTGGACACTTCATCTTCCAACGCCCCACCCCACCCTGTGAAGGCGGCGTCTCGCATCTCCAGCTGATCGGCAAACTCCGGCCTTGGGACAAAGCTCAAAGGAGCCAAGAATTCCAATTCTGGATGTTTCGCGCCCACGCAAATGCTGACATGCGTGGCCGGACCTTGTAAGAAACACATGGGTATGATTCCTGCTTGTCTGAACCCAAGGTCTGCTATTGGTTCCCCAGACTTGGCCCCAGGCTGGTCCATGGCCACGTTGCCGAAGGTGAGGCTGAAGGCATAGCTGGAGAAGACCCAGATGCACAGCGAGGCCTGGCGCTTCAGGAGCTTCCCCCGATTTTCGGACGGTTTAGGGAGTGGCTGGCAGTAAATTGGGGGAGGGGTGCCGACTCTGAGTGCGAAAAGACAGCCAGCTTGCATGAGCACGTGTTACTATTGATTCTGAAGTGCGAGCAGGGCTTGATTTCGCTAGCTCAGGGAGCCCACACGAGCTTGCCATCTTGCTATGCGGCTCCTTAAGCTCTTGGCCCCAGCCCGGCCGAAGAGCTTCCGAACAGATTCTCTCGCGACAACGGCGAGAAGATCGGCAGGGGTGCGGCAATGACCATGCACACCACGCGCTGCAGGAACATGAATCTCTGCACTCCGCACCTGAGCCGCAGAGATCTGAGGCCATGCTTGCCAAGCGGAGTGAAAGACGGAGAACGAGTGCCTTTGGTGTTGCCTTGGGGTTTACATCATGGCGATGGCAATCCACATGAAAAGTAGGTGATTGCAATGTGGATCGTTGTCAAGGTAACACCATGGTGCACACTGGGCAGAAGCTCCTACGAGCTTGTCGCAGCGTTGCTTGCCCTCAGAACCACTCCTAGAAAAACAAAAACAAGCCGTCGCTAACATGGCCGGCTGATGTTGGCCGTGCCCAATTGTTGCCGGCTGATGTTGATCCATTTTGCACTTCGCAGTCTGGGGAAATACCCCCACCGAGGAACATATGATGAGCTCAAACCAAAATTCTACCCTTGGCGTTGGTCAAGTTTGAGTGGCCTGCAGCGATCTCAGTGGATGTGTCCAGAATGTGGGTGCTTCCTTTTTTGAGTGGTCGCAAAACAGATCTGGCCACTGCAAGATGTTGCAAATCTGCAGCCCCTGCCAACCTGACCATGCTCCAACACTCCCCTAAAGTTTTTGGGTGTTTAAAGAGAAACCAGTGAGTTGCGACAAACCCATATCTTCGGCATGGCCCGCGCTCTCAGGCGCCCCGGCTCCATGGCGAGGTTCGGCATGAATTCCGCCTTTCATGAGCTGAGTCGACGCTCGCTTCGGCCCCCAAATCCCCCAAATCCCCAACAAAAGGTGGAGTATAGGTCGTTCATGCGGCTAGTGGCATTATGCTCCTTCATGTCAGACGCCTCGGGAGGTTCAGGTTATATACTCGGAATCATGTGGCTGCGAAAGTGATTTTAGGGCCATGAGCAACCTCTTCTACCTGACCAAGGGTGGATGTAAGCGGCGCAATTCATGCAGTTACAAAGACAGTATCCGCCCGACACATGCCATCTACAACCTCTTCTTTTGACCATCTTCAGCTCACACCGTTCCGACATGGCTGCAAGGGAGCATGTTGCCTATGCAGCATGAAACATTGCAGGATGACGCAGTTACAGCATAAAGCATGAACCCTACTTTCATTTGCTGTTCCTTATCAAGATGTCTTTGAACATTGACATCTTGTCCCGCGTCACACATGCTTCTCAGTTGTTGAAATAATGGAATTGAACCATGCCACAGGACGCTTTGACGTGATGTCAGTTGGAACAACTTATTGAGAGACGCCTGATTCCTGCTTGTACAGCCCTAGGGTGTACGGAAACAATAGTCAAGCGGTCGAATTGCATCTAAACATCAATCATCATTTGATGGCTTCAGGATGCATAACTCTGGCGCTGGCTTTGGATGATAACAACACGTCCCACGCATTGCGGATCAAATCAGATCGCCATCGGTTCTGGGACCGACGTCCGACGGCCCCCAGCCCAAGCCCCACCTGCATCTTGCACAGCACCGGCAGCTTGACCAAGACCAAGCCCAGGTACAACAGCAGCTCTAAATTCCTCATGAGTGAACCCGGCTTCCCGTTCGGTTAGACCTGATATGAACGGACAACAAATGCAGGTCAACGTGCCCAAATCACATTGGATTTTGGTGAAGCTTCATTTCCAAGTGGCAATTTGGTGAGACCCACTGTCATTCCCGTCACATCATCAACTTGACGGTGAATATTGACCGTTGCTGTGATTTATTGCGGCCCAACAGGGAAATGGGTGAGAGACGAGCAACCCAAAAGCCCAAAAGCTGCTCGGCTTCTCCACCTGGGTGGCTCGTCTCTCACCCTCGAGGGTCGGCTCTTCAGCCACAGCAAGGGATTTTTGTTGTTCCCTGCGTCGGCCATGCGCTACTAGACTAATACCCGATCTGACGGCATCCAATGAGCAAATACGGGTTCCCAGCACACAGCGACTGAGCTAAACCCTGCATATTGACTCGAACACGCTGAACATGTGAGGTTGATTCTGGATGGGATTTCTGCCATACGGTTGGTCTTACCGGGGAACGTGAACGAAACAGATGCAGTGTGCATCAAATTCCCTTGTTAATGGTATAGATTGCTAGCTTCACTGACACCTGTTGACAGGTTGAATGCTGATCTGGCTTTGATTTGCCCTCTTCAGGACTAAAGCGCCATTTCCATCTGGCAAAAAGGCACCATTCAAACCCCACCAAGTTCCAAAAGCATCTGTGCACTACGCTCAAAAAGGCCTTGCTGGTCAATTAGTCTCCTTATTTTTACATACATGTCCCTTTCAAACATCAAACCAAAATGCAACTCATTTTACATTGGCCTAAAAGGTGATGATTGAATCCCCTGAGAGGGGAATCCAGCCGGAATCCTGAGCCATCTCTGAGCTTGCCTCTGGGCTGCCCCGACATGAACGCCACGAACCTGCGCCAAAGGTTGATGCTGCTGAGGCAAACGGCTCGTGCTCAGCTTTGGAAGGCTTGGAATCCGCCGTAGCTTGTGCCACCACGCTGCTGTTGTAGGCAACCTTTTGGAGAAATAAATAGCAGTGGCAAACGAACAGAACCAAACTGAAACCATCTACATTCAACCCAAGTGACGCAACAACACATCTTTATGACATGGTCGTTGCTCAAAAGGGATGGGCCCAGATTGACGTCTGTGCGTCATATCGGCCGGGTAGGTGGTGAGTTCCAAACACCGATCTGCTTCACGACCAACACATCTGGATGGTTTCCATGAAAATCCTCCAACTCCACTTGTTTGCTTGTTTGTTTAACCTGCTTGTTGCCGTGGCCAAATTCCAGGGTGCCATTTGAAGGTCTCGGTCCGACTCCGTCTTGGGCCGCGGCCAGCGGCTGACGGTGGGCAGGTTCAAGCATTCGCCCCCTGGGCGGAAGGCGTTGATCTGGTGGAAGGTGTACCTGCCGAACAAAAAAAACAAAAACGCGCAGAGCAAAACGACAGCCAAGGGAGTCAACTAGGCTTGCGTTGTGTTGATAGGGCCCGTTCCAAATGTTGCCGATGGTGACTCTTGCAAAGCAAGACAGACTTGGACACGTCTGCACAACTGGATGGGAATGCATGAGAAGCGGGAGGCAAACCAACATGTGATATTCACGCACGCAAAAACCTATGTGCTGTGCTCGAATGTCGTTGACCAACTTCCAAAATGTAACGGCGGTCAGTTGCAGTAAAAACCCCTGCGATAGGCATCGCGGCGCAGTGAAGCTAAACGTGCAAAGACTGGCAGAGAGGAGAGCGATCCTCCCCTTTTGGTTTCTCTCAGGGTACTCGAATGTGCTGTTTAGCCCCCAGCAAGGCAAGCATGGCCGCACGTGCACACCAGGATGATAATGATGCCGTACACAAGCCCTGGCAATGGTCGCCGGTCTCACCAAACCCGAATCGTCAGAGCCATAGTCCAAACTCCAGTGGGTCGTTGTCCTGACTCCCTTGAGAGGAACCTATCCGACCTATCCATAGTTGTTCATGGAACCAGAAAAGCCACAATTTGTATAGGAAGCTTCTTTTGGATGCAATATCAATTCGCAAGGGAAGAGAGATTGTCAGAGGAGTGGAGCCGCTTGGAAAAATGAACCCTGGTCTGGCAATGTTGCCCGGGAAAAAATAGTTTCAAAACAAAGGGGAGTTCCTCTAAAAGCGGAATCCCTCCTGTATAGTCACCCCTTGCTCATGCGAGTTGCATGCAAATATCATTCTGGGATAAACAAGTGCATCCACCTAGGTCCTACGTTGGGAGGGTCCTCGTGTCTGTTGGGGCGGTGGCAGACACAGACTCGTGGTGTGAGTGAGAGCAGGGACGGGAGCAGATTCCTACTGTGACTGGTAAGTAAACCCCGGTCTTCCATTTTGGCTGCTCTCAAAACCTTCCAGCGCTCTCCAACCAGTCCTGCTCTTTGCTTCTCTGACCGAAGGAAGCCCGGTGGAACCCTGGCTCCAACTCCTATCAACAAGATAGCCTAGGAAGGCTTACACAGGACTCACTACAATCTTTCTTAAGCCAGGCAGAACCGCCTAAGAAAAAGGAGAAACCCTCGGCAATTTATTTTCGCAATTCAGGATCTTGTGACTGTTTTGGGGTCCTCAAGTGTGGCTCTTTTGTTTGCGGAAAGAATGTCGGGGAAAAAACCACCTGGCAAACAACGACTGGCCAAAAAATCGGACAAAACACGGGCAAACAAATCCGGGCAAACCTTAGGAATTTCCTTTGAAGTGGTCCCCAAACCATCAATTTAAAGATAACTTCTTTACAAACAAGCAAGGGCAAACATTCGCGCAAAGGGGGTTGCCCACAAGAGGCCCTGAGCGTCTGAAATGTGACTGTTTTGGGTCTTAGTGTCCAACTATTTCGGGGGCTGCTGAAATTCTTAAATTAAAGCCTTAGCCTTAACAAGGGTGGTTCACCTAACCTAGCTCTTCCCAGCTCAAAGGGTAAAGGCCTTGGATCTAGGAAGTTCATTTTGCCAGTGGCCCCCAAACCATCAAATTTAAGATAACTTCTTTTTTTAAAAAAAAAAGTAAGGGCAAACATTCGCGCAAAGGGGGTGCCCGCAAGAGGCCCTGAGCCTCGTTAATGTGACTGTGCTTGGGTCCTCTTTAGTGTCAGAGGGTCAACATTAGCCCTTTTGGGGTTGTGCCCCAAACTTCTTTCAATCAGATTATGCACCCCTGAGGACAACCTGAACGAGCGTCCCTTATATAACCCAGCAGTATTTTTGGGTGCACTTTCTCCCCCCCCCTCCCCCCCCGCGCGACTGGCGACTCGCTCGCTCGCGGTGAGTTCCGTGGCTCCCGTCGCTCCTGCGATGAGGTCGCTCTCGTCCTCGAAGCCGAAGAGGCGATGGCCCCAGCCCACGTCTAAGTCCAGCAGCTGCACCAGCCTGGGGGGTTGGCGGGGGCGGGTGGTTGGGTTGCCGGTTGGGTGGAGGAGGATGTGGGGTTCTGGGGGAAGGGATACAGCTAAGGCCCTTCAAAACGCCGGCACAAATTCTATGTTTGTGGGAGGAAGGGGAAGCAAGGGGGAAGCCATCTCCGCCATATCGGCCTCTCCCGGAGGCATTTGAAGCACCCGAAGACGGACAATTGAACAAGCTCGAAACAAGCCGTCAACCCGGAACCCTTGCGGAATCCACGTGCTGTGCCAAACGATGGGCTTCAAGTTGGCGCCCGAGTCCCTGTGACACATGCTCACATGGAAGAGTCAAGAGTCATCAACATCCAGCCGGGTCACATTCAGAGAATTCAAGACGAGGTCCAGAGACTCAACATGGTGTGTCTCCGCATTGGGAACTTGGGAACCCCCCCAAAATGGGTGGGGCCCCTTTGCTTTACATTGAAACCAACCCGCAAGAGTCGCCTCAAAACAAGATACCCAGTGTACTGTTGTGAAAGATCGCCCGGTGCACCGACCAAGTCTCAAGCAACTGCCCGCAGCAGAGCTAGCAGCTAAGGTGTCAATACAAGTTGCACCCCAAATGCTTGGGGTTATTTGTGTGTTCATGGAGGCAACAAAGGGTCCCCTGCTTCCGACTCAACCCTCAGACTCACGTCGAGAGCAACGGGGCATTCTGTTGGCTCCGCAACTGCCAGCCGCTCAAGCAACGAGCGGGGCTTCCAAAAAGTTGGCAGAAATCCCATGCCGGCAAAACACAGTGTCATCTTGTTCGAACCATCTAGACGCACAGCTATGTCCAGCCAGCCCGAAATGTGAGATCCGCACATGTGTTCAACATGGCTCGTTCTCAAACCTGGAGAATATGGTCTCTGTCCCACGTCGATGCCGAATGTGAGTTGGACACCAAGCCGATGCCTGCCGGAACTGAGGGTGGAGTACGAATCGAGCCTCTATGTCCTTTCGGGAAATCACAAGGAGGTTGGGAATCTCCTGTTGATGGGTTTCAAAGAGAAACCCAAAGGAAACCGGGTTTATTTTTGCTGTTCCCCTCTTTAGAGGCAAACCCCTATATACCTTGCCCCCCTCTCAGCACGCGCCTGGGCCCCCCCACCAGCCGACGCCCTCGTTGTGGTTCGCCGCGACACCGGGCTCGCCACGCAGTCCGGGGCGAGGGCCGCCCTCGTAGCCTCGGGCAGAGTGTGTCCAGACCAGTGGATGTCCATAGAAACGGGGCCGCTATCCCTTTCATGTCCAGATTGGTCAACTGCCCCTGAATAGTTCTTTAAAACGGACAACTCTCCAAACTCAATCACAAACTACCCCTAAACAGTTCTAAGCTCACCAAAATATGTTGAACACAATACTTAAGACCCAGGTTTAGGGTGTAGGTTTGGATGTGAGGCTTGGGGATAAGTTGCAGCGGGTTGACACGACCCAACGCTTGCGCGCCTGCCAAACGGCGCTCGCCGTAGGGCAGCGGCCTGCCTTGGGCGCCGAACCACGGGCGTTGGCCCTACACTTTCCCAGGGGTAGTGTCAAAATCGGGGAACCCCCCACAGTGGTTTCCTTTTGGTTTCCTTTTGGTTTCTTCTAAAAAAAGAAAAGAAAAGGGGACACCTTTTAACCCACCCGCTCTCCAAAAAAAATGGGGACACCCACAAAGAAACACCCAGAAAGTAAATTCCGACGGTCACGAAACCCACATAGGCCAACGCTCGCTTAGCTCCTGGCCAGGAGCTCCTTGCTCTGCGCCCTGGCGGAGGAGCTTTGATATCCGACACATGGATTCCAACTCGGGCCCGACCTGGTAAGGCCACAAGAAAGAGCCGGTGAGCCCATGTGGAGCCCTTTTTCAGTAGTGTTTGATGCAAGACAGGCGTCTGGCTGCACGAAAAGCCTCGAGTATGGCTCTGCGCACCGGTCCATCTAAGCTAAAGAACGATGCACATGTTGTGCCTGGTTCTGGGACAGCAAACAAATCTGGCAGGGACTATGTTTTTTTGTCGAACAAACACATTGATCGCCGCGCTTCAGGAATGCAGCCCTTTGCGGCGATTGCAAGCTGCAAAACGTGCACACAAACTCAGGAGCACGCTCTAGAATTTTCCTTCAAGGACGGCAGAAACAAAAGGACCAGGGAACATGTGACAACCACTATGCCAGCTTTGATTGCCCCAGGGTAGATTTTTAACCGCACTGGTTGCCTTCCCCAAGGGATTGAGTCTACCCAGTAAGCACCATTGGACTCACAGGCTTCCTCCCCCGAGTTGTTCGGCGCCTCCGCCCCATGGTTCACCTCGCCCAGCAGCAAGGCGTGAACAATCACCTGGCGGTGCCATCCTGGTCCCATCCCCGAAATGAATCACAGTGCTCCATGGGGCCCAGAATCAAATCGAGTTTGTCGAGTAGATGCTACAACTTTACTGCAAGCAAAGTTTAAATCACCGTAGGGGGTCACGCGCTAAAATCCTTGGGGTCCCCGAGTTGGTGAGTTTGGGCGCCTTTCACTGCATCTTGCCACCGGCATCTTGGTGATTCTCAAAAAAAGGGGACTCCTCCAAATCGAGTCACGTGTGTGTGTTCCCTGGACGCCAAGCTCCCTCGCCCTCAAGGAACACGCTTTGATCCCGCTGTCTGAGAGTTCAGACAGAATGCAGCAAAATGCGCTCTCACAGACCACTCGCGGTGTCCATCCTGGGCCACCTTTCAATCATGTTGACCCTTTTACCTGGCCCAGTTGGAGCATCGGTACAGCGGCACAGGAACCAAACGGCCCTGCGACAATGAAGACCCCATACATGGGTCCCTTACTCCTTTTGGCACATCCCCTTGGCCAACCACCCCCCCAACCCCAACCCCCAACCCCAAAACCCCCCAACCCCACCCCCCGCGCCAGGCAAAGCCCATAGAGGGTGTTGATCACCAGCACGCCGCTGGCACCCTGGCGCAAGCCAAAGCAGCCCAGCACCTGAGAGCGATCCAACGACACCTGCTTTGGTTTCCATCTAAGGCAAACCCCCCCCAAAAGCGGGTGACCCGGATCGCGCGCCCATAGCCTCAACACAACTACCGATGGGGCGACCCAGCCCCCTTTGGTGAACTCCTTTGTTTGAACCGCCAATAGCACGGACTTGATTTGCGAAGACGCACACCAAATGCGGTGCGGAAAACACTACATCGTTTGAGCAACCTCCTTTTGGTTCCCCCTCGAAAGGTGTCCGTGGTCTGGCTTTTTAGACATTGCCAACCCTGCCTGGGAGGCTATTTCCTGAACCTCACCTCAACCCCGCCTTTGGGTCTTTCTCGACTACCCCAAACAGGAAACTGTGCCCACAGTGTGGGTTGCACCATGACCAAATGTTTTCTTCCTAGCCACGCTAGCAGTATCTGTATAGTACCTTTGAAGTCTCGCCCGCAGAGTCTCATGCGTGTAGAAGCAACCGTCTTGCGCTCAAGTCAAAAGTTGGGGATGGTGCATGAAAGGAGGCCACAAGAAGCAATATGAACCTCTGATACCGGTATCACTCAGCTTATACACACACACACACACACACTGAAGATCCTGCACTGGTTTTGCCGACTTTTCGGCTTGCTCGCATGTAAGAGGGCCCAGGGTCAATTTTGGCTTGCTCAGCACAGGACCCATCCCTGGCAAAATGATGACGCACGAGAATCCTTGATATACAAGTTCAGAGTACACCTTTGCTTGCGCTCTACCCAAACTCACGGCAAACTCTCAGAAGCCGCCCTTCGAGATCCACACTCCACGGAGCGGAGTCTCCATTTCAGAAGGACGCAGCTCTCCAGATGAGCTGTCTCAAGTGAGAAACCTTCAAACCAGTCGATGCCATAGCATCAGGGGACTATGTGGAGCAAGCTCCTCTTAGTGACAACAGTGTCCTTATAGCATTCCCTTTCAACGTTCAAACCCGCCAACGCATGTCAATGCTTTTTGACAGTAGCGAAGCCCTCGAAGTACATGGTGTCCTTTTGTCGGGGTGCCCCATCCAACCGGCGTGCACTCGTGTGAATGCGACATGGCCATGGTCCCCTTTAAATTCACTCTTGCTCCAAGCTAGTCTACATTTGTCTACCCTTCCTCCACAAACACAGCACCTGTGGAGCGGACGTGGAATTTCCTCTTCAAAGGACCCCTGTGTCAGGTCTGTGGGAAGGACGAACCATGGCCATTTGAAGGACCATCCAAGCTCTCAGTGCGCGACATGAGTGGCTGGATGGCCTCAAAGGCTCGGAGCCCACGCACGAATCCCCCCGATGCCCATCAAGTGTCTGTGGGTCAAAACCCAAAAAAACCCTCGTGAACATCAAAATAGGTGGCAAATGGATGTTCATCCACCCCAAAATTGAGCCATAGGTTGTGCCCCATGGCCAAGTGACTCCTGACAGTTGCGTTTCGTGCACTACGTGCCTGTTTGTTGTTCTCTTGTGGCGTGGTGGTTTTACACGCACACGCTTGGTGGTGCATCCCACAAAGATCAATATCCCTGAAGGCTGTCGAGGGGCCCAACGTCTTTGTTGGCTCCAGAGGGCGGCATTCAACTCGCTTGGCTTAGATTGCGATGCCGTGAGACTCGCTCCCTTCAAGGTGACGGTCCCCGCACCATGCCAAGGGTCGCCCCCAACTATCCGATTTCAAGTCTTAAAGAGAGCCTCAGGTTGTCCGATTTCATTTGGGTGTCGCCTCAGATAGGGGACCACCCCAATGATTGTGTTCTTTTGGCAGTTGAGCATCATCTCACGTCCTGAGGGCCAACAAAAACTCCGAAGGCTTTCTTGCCCACTGATGCCCAAAGAATCAAGTCCAGAAACAAGGCACATGGGGCGCAAGCTGTCCTACAGGGTCTCAAACATCCGAGCACAACATCTTCAGCTTGGACTGAGTTGCTGGGTCCCTGGCAGATTGGCGGAAAGCACATCC